CACGTAGCCCGATATAATGACAACAGGTGGACACGGAGAATTCTAGAATGGAGACCAAGGACGACAACAAGAAGCATGGGAAGACCTCAAAAAAGATGGGTAGATGACATAAGAGCGGTGGCAGGCAAACAGTGGATTAGATTGGCGCAAGATAGAGAAAGATGGAAGCAATTGGGAGAGACCTACATTCAGGAGTGGATGGAAAATGGTTGACAAAGAAGATATCCGGGAAGCGTTTGCTATTCGATTATTTATCTCTGCTTCTTGTGTACCCTTACTCTCTAGTTGCACTCCCAGATATTTGAAGGTTTCTACTTGTTCTAAAAAGGTCGATAACAAACTAATAATACCAAAGAAATGTTAAAATTATAAATTATATGAATAAAATCACAGGTAGTAAAAAGCTAAACTAAGCCGAATGGTTCGTTTTTATCGTATTCTTATGAGTATTCAAGAACCCGGTCAACTTCAGAAGGTGTTGTAAAACCCACAGTAATTAATGAATTAAACACATTTGTAGTGAAAATTAATCATCTAAAACCTTATATAATATTGCTCTGATCTATTTTTGTTGTAACATGACCAGAAAAAGATGGTAAGGTCCAGAAGAAAATTTGTTCAAACATTTTTAGGTATTTTTTAGCATTTTTATTTTCAATTTTACGTTAAAAATAAAGTTTTTGACAATTGAATTTGCTACAAATAGTGTCTAATACAATTCTTTTTATGCGACTAATTACAGCATAAAAACCTTTTAACAGAAATTAATGAAACTTAACAAATTTGTGGTAAAAATTACTCTAAAAAATCCCTCTATAATATTTCTCTGACACAATTTTATGGTAAAATGTCCAAAAAAAAGATTTTACGACCCAAAAAAAAATTATTCAAAAATATTTAGTTATTTTTTTATTTTTAATTTTACGATAAAATGTAATACAAATAAAGTTGTACATTTACTTTTTGAGTTAATGGCTTTATTAAATTTTAAATCCACTATTTGAGGGCCACTGATCATTGTTTAATTACTTATCGGTCTTCATATATGGCTTTTAATTTATACACATGTGCGTGGGCAAATTTAGTGGATATTTCGATGGGATTTATAGAACTAGCCTAATAGAGGTAGTGGAATTATTAAACGGCTATGACTCATGTATGCGCAAAGTACAAATTTACATTAAGGCAGACTAAGGACATAGCCATATAGAAAATCCACAAACTCTACCACATACATTGGTAATCGACCAACTCATTACTAAAATGATGTACCACATACTGTACAAAGTGAGAGGCCACTAAATTTTAGTGGAACATATCAGATATCAATAATTTTGTGATCAGATTTTCAGTAAAGTATTTCCAAAAACATTATTGCAAGAACAAAAGATATTAAGCTCCATAATAAAAACAAAAAAAATGATCTAGCTTACCTAATCCCAAGAAAAGTACAGTAGTTCAGTACGTACTTCTATATGTGATTACATTAACTGGTGGCATTAACGATATTAAATCGTTTAAGTGTTATATCAGTAGTTGACGAATGAAAATAAGTATTCTACTGTACTAGAATAAAAACAGTATCAAATAGCCAAATTATGTTTCTTGATGAAATAAAGGCCTAGAATCAGATGCGAAAGACGATTTAAAAAGAATAAAAAAGATAGAATATTGAGAATTACAATTAAATTTCAAATAAAATGGTAGGTGTTTAAAATCCTTCCAAAATGTACTATATAAGAACAGTCAAAGAAAGTCTGCAAGAGTACAATGGGTTAGATAGTAAAGCAAATTTAAAAAATGTTTGGTACTCTTATAGTATAGCTTAACACACACGTTTATACAGTTTTATTGGGAAATGTGCATATGTTAATTTTTTTAATCAAATGATAATAATATATGTAGTAGTTTACATTAATCGGAACTTTTATATGTATATAAATATACAATGGTTTATTCAACTTACATCATTATTTTGTATCTTATATTTGTAGTAGTAGTAGTAATACAAATAAATAGCAATATTTTACACTTTTGTGCACGGACGGTTCTCTCTCTTCTCTCTTCAATCCTGACCCCCCAGGGGGAGTGTAGTGGTCGACGTGATGTCGTGTAGTGTCCGTCTCCAGAGATCTCTGTCATTTCTTTTAATTTATGCATAGGTCTTTGGCATATTCCTGTAATTTGATCTATCCATCTTGTTGGGGATCTTCCTCGTGATCTTCGGCCTTCTACCTTTCCTTGTATTATGAGTATTTTCATGTTTTCTGTGTTTGCTCTCATAACATGCCCAAAATATTTTAATGTTGGAGATGGACCTTACTAGAGAGTCATTGGCTAACTTTTAGCTCTCTTAAAATTGAATTATTTGTTCTACGGTCGGTCCAAGGAATTCGTAACATTTCAGTGGCGGCTATCTTTCTTCTCTCCGATTGTCTTAGAATCCAAGATTCACATCCGTAGGTCAGTATTGGGAGTATTAAGCAGTTGATCAACTCATCTTTATCGCTCTTGAAATTTGACAGTCCTTCCATATTTTGGTCATTTTTGCTGTGGCAACTTTTGCTAGATCACATCTACGTTTAATCTCTTCTTGTAATGACCCTGTGTTTGTGATTAATGATCCCAGATATAAGTATGAGCTCACAACCTCGAACCGGTCAATTGTGGTTATGTGTGGATGATTGTTGTGTAGTCTATCCACTATTATGATCTTTGTCTTTGATATGTTTAATTGCAGACCAAATATTTTACTTTCGTTTTCGATCAGTCGTATAAGTTCCATCAGCTCTGCTTGACTATTTGCAAGAAGGGCTGTGTCAGCTGCGAAACGTAGGTTGTTTAATTTATGACCATTTATTGAGATGCCCTTTTCCCATCCTTCAAGTGCTCTTCGCATAATGTACTCCCCATATATGTTGAATAATTGTGGAGATAGTATACATCCTTGTCTGACACCCCGTTCTGGATGAAACTCGTTCGAAAGTGTGTCCAGTAATTTAACTGATCCAGTAGTGTGTTCATATAGTTCAGTTATAAGCGTAATTAGATGTTGTAGTACGCTTACTTTTTTTAGTATTCGCCATAAGTGTCTCCGCTTGACCCTGTCGAACGCTTAACGGTAATCTATAAAACAGATGTATAGTGGGATGTCGAATTCCCTAGATTTCTCGATTATCTGTCTTATGTTCAGCAGGTGTTCTCGAGTGCCTCTACCTTTGGTAAATCCAGTTTGCTCTTGTGGAATTTCTCTTTGAAGGAATGTTTTTAGTCTTTCATTGATTATATGTAGTATTATCTTGCTGGCATGGGATATAAGAGAGATAGTTCTATAATTGTCACATTTATGGAAGCTGCCTTTTTTATGTATGGTCGTTATTGTAGATTGTGTTCAGTCTTCAGGCCATTGTTTGAAATGCCATATTTGGTTACAGAGTAGATGAAGTAACTTTACGCCGGTTTCTTCTGTGACTTTAAGCATTTCTGCTGTTATCATATCTGGACCTGGTGCTTTGTTATATTTGAGCTTGTTATTAGCCTGTCTTACTTTATTTTCGAGTATATCAGGTTCTTCTTCCACCTCGTCAGAGATTTGGCTAACAAGCTCTTGGCGTTGATCATCTTTATATAGGTCCCTGCAATACGATCTCCATGTCTCTGCGTTTACACTACAAAGGTTAAAATTACGCTGCTCTTATAAAAAATGAATATCATTCTTCTTTATAAGCTTAATTTTTCTTTTTTGTTTTACACATTTTTGCTAACACATGTGTTAAGTTATTTATGGAAAACCGTTAAATAGCGTAACTTTTTCAATAAAAATTCGTTGTTTTTAATCATAAATTGCTCAAACAATATTAACTTTCTGAAAACGCTCTATGGAACAAAAGTTGCAAACAATCTAATCTTCTATATTTTATTGTAATTATTTTTAGCAAAAAATCCCACTCTCAAAAAGAGGTGGCAACTACACCTGGCCGGAAGTACACATCGTCGTTATATAATTTTTTTTTACTTCAGCACTTTTTCATCAACTACCCCGAGTGACTGGGGTACCAACTGATTCTATTTACCTATCGACCATTTATGGACTGACTCAATTTGACCGCGACTTTCAACTTAAATACTATTTTTGATATTGTATAACGACGTCTGTAAAATGTATGGGTAACATGAAGCTCAAACCACATGCTACCCGTCTATTAAGTTACCGAATAAATCATGTATCTTTATATACAGGCTTGATACCTGTTAAATATAGACTACTGGTAACAACATACATATCCTGTTTTTACTACTAATATACAACCATTTTCCAATGGAACACTTTGTATATAGTTATAATTTTATATTTTAGATTAGTTATTTAGATTAAATATGATATAAATGTTCAAAAATTGTAATCAATTATATTTTAGTTGGTACTACGAACAAACATGCGTAAACATATATTTATAACAGCAATAATAAAAATTCCTTAAATTCTAAGTTCACATCATACAATCTAATGGACGTTGTTTGAGCAGTTAAGCTGTTTCTTAGCTTAACAGCTTTGACTGTTCCCACTAAATGTGATTATTTTTTTTATATAATTTTATATTTTTTCCATTCTTGGTATCAAATAGTGCCTATAAACAAGTCGTGTAGGATGAAAGTAACGATAGATTTCAAAAAACTGTCTACTCAAGTGAGGTTTGAGTTTCCATTAACTTTAGCAGAGTCATTAATTAAGGGTCAGTTGGAGACCGTTAATGAAACTAGCTATTCTTTAAAATGTGTAGTATGTTAGAATTATTAAAAAAAGTTTATTTTTATAGCACAACAAATTTTATTTCTTACAGCTTAAACCATTTTAATTTAAAATTTTTACAATTATTGTATACAAATTATTGTTAACGTCTTTAATATGCCTCTGGGGATTTGTCAAAAATAAAAACAACACATACATATTAATAAAAGACGTAACCAACTGACGTCTTGTTGGTTTCATGGGCGTGCAGACATTGGGGTGCATAGAAAAAGGGTAACTTCAACAGTTAGCAGCATACAACGATCGCAAGAGGTGGTGCCTAGCATACCAACTAGATCTTCAGACTGCAGTCAGAGAGCATCTAGTCTTAACTCCATTTCTAGTTCAGAAGGATCTTCGTAAGTAGCCGCCTGACTAATCAGATTTGAACCTCATCGTGTTGCATTTGTCTTCTCCTATGTCTTGTAAATAAGCAACGTTTGTGTTAAAGATGTTATGATTTTAAAAAATGTCTGGGTATATAAAATTTTATTATATACGGTATACGTTTGTTTAACTTGCCTGTAATTAACCGTTTATTATTTAATTAATAATTATTTAAATAATTAAGTAGCTTACAATACCAGATTTTATGACATAGTCAAGTTATAAAAAGAAAAGTTTAAATAATGTAACTAGATATACGTATATATGACCAAACATATTTTTTAAGTGACAATGGGTTTTGACCATAATGTTTTTAAATAAATATATATATATATATATATATATATATATATATATATATATATATATATATATATAAAGAGTAAGAAAAAAGAAGTACTTGTGACTCGTTTGGAAAAAATATAACACTGTTTTTGATGGGTTGGAGTCAATAAAAGGGGCTATTTGTTGACTATTTTTTACTCGAGCTTTCAATTGTGATTACAATTTTTATCAAGAGCTTCTAAAAAATACAAAATGTCTTACAAAGTTGAACTAGAAATAAAAAATTTTTTGTTAACTCACCAAATAAAATTAGTTTTTTATATAAAACTACTGCTTACATAATAAATACAAACAATATTAATAAAAAAATGCCTTATTCTAATAAATGTGTCTCTGAAAAATTTAGATGAAGTTTCTTAAGAAAAAAAAATTGAATTTATAAACAAACATAGAATAGCTACAACCAGCCTAAAATGTCATAAATACTAACTTAAAAATTTTTATTTTTGACATATTGTCAAAAATAAAATTTTGTTTAAAAAATTCTTCTTTGTTAAGTAACAAAAAAGAAGAAGATTTATTCACCATTGATAGATGCCCGAAAAAATGTAACAAATACATGGAAAATTCAAAATGTGATATTTTACTGACTGCATAAATTAAATAGAAATTATATAATTATAAATTTTGCTTAAATTTTGAATTTCTGATCTTTGGTTTAAATTATTATCACTTTTGCTAATACAAACCATTTCCAAAAAAGTTCTTTTAAATTTATTACTTTCATTACATAAAATTTTAATATTATCAAAATCCATAATATGGTCTTTGTCTATTACATGCTCTGCCAAAGCACATTTCTCACAAGAGTGATTGTAGAATTAAGAAACCATCTTGTGCTTTGGCAGAGCATGTAATAGACAAAGACCATATTATGGATTTTGATAATATTAAAATTTTATTTAATGAAAGTAATAAATTTAAAAGAACTTTTTTGGAAATGGTTTGTATTAGCAAAAGTGATAATAATTTAAACAAAAGATCAGAAATTCAAAATTTAAGCAAAATTTATAATTATATAATTTCTATTTAATTTATGCAGTCAGTAAAATATCACATTTTGAATTTTCCATGTATTTGTTACATTTTTTTGGGCATCTATCAATGGTGAATAAATCTTCTTCTTTTTTGTTACTTAACAAAGAAGAATTTTTTAAACAAAATTTTATTTTTGACAATATGTCAAAAATAAAAATTTTTAAGTTAGTATTTATGACATTTTAGGCTGGTTGTAGCTATTCTATGTTTGTTTATAAATTCAATTTTTTTTTCTTAAGAAACTTCATCTAAATTTTTCAGAGAAACATTTATTAGAATAAGGCATTTTTTTATTAATATTTTTTGTATTTATTATGTAAGCAGTAGTTTTATATAAAAAACTAATTTTATTTGGTGAGTTAACAAAAAATTTTTTATTTCTAGTTCAACTTTGTAAGACATTTTGTATTTTTTAGAAGCTCTTGATAAAAAGTGTAATCACAATTGAAAGCTCGAGTAAAAAATAGTCAACAAATAGCCCCTTTTATTGACTCCAACCCATCAAAAACAGTGTTATATATATATATATATATATATATATATATATATATATATATATATATATATATGTTTTTTATGGGTTTTTTTTAATTTAGTTTGATGGCCTTGGCCAAGCCAATTAGCAAGACAAATTTAAAAACAATTTTTACAATCAGAGGAATTTTTTTTTGGCTTTTTTTTAAATAAACAATCATCCGTACAATTTAACGTACAATTTTAAATAAATTACATTACTTAAATGCAAGGGTTACTTTTAAAGCTACAATTTATATTTACAGTTTTTTATATGTTCGTAAATCGTTTTTAATATATTGATATCTCTAGAGAAAATCAAATTGTTCAGGTAAACGAAAAGTGGAGTTTTTAATATAATAAGATTATTATAAAATTGGTTTATGTTTACTGATTCTTGAAAACATTCAAGGAAAATATGTAATAGGTTACCTTCTTTTCCACAATTGCAGTTAGATTACTCAGTGATACCCAACTTGTACATATGAAGGGGTGTAAGAGCATGATTAAATCTTAATCTGTTTATAACCCTCATGTGGCGATTTGATAGAGTATGAAACCATCTTTTTATGGGTATTTCAGGCTGCATTTGTTTGTAATTACTTCCAGTTCTCGTGTTTCGATAATGTTTGCTATTTTTTTTTATGCCGTTTACTAATTATATCAATGTCTGAAAAGGGGAGTAAGTTCAACGGAGCTTCTCCGCCTATCTCTAGGGCAGATTGGGCTAGGCTATCTGTTATTGCATTGCCCTTAATGCCTGCGTATCCCTTTATTCATGATATAATAATGTTTTTTTCTAAATTTGTAATTTATTGTAAATAGTCATAATTTCTAGTTCTATAAGTCATATTACATAGTCATATTTTTATGGGTTGGAGTCATTAAAAGGGCTATTGGTTAACTCTTCTTTATGTCATGCTTTTAATTGTGTTTACAATCTTTTTCAAGAGCTTTTAAAAAAACACAAGAAATCTTACAAAGTGAAACTAGAAGAATAAATTTTAACTCACCAAATAAAATTAGTTTTGTTACTAAATCTAAACTGCTTAACATATTAAAAAAGATATAGAACATATATTATATACCAAATTGAATTTCGTGATAAACGCTCCACAATTGATTAGATCCATAGAATAATATATGCAATAGAGACAGCATTGGAAGATTCCAAAATTTGTTCAGCAGTATTCCTGGATATCGCAAAAACATTTGACAATGTACAGCACGACGTGTTATTAAAGGTAAAGAAAATATTTCAAATGCAACTCATTGAAATATTACAGTCATACCTATACCAGCGAACATTTAGTATGAAAATAGAAACGAGTACTCTGATTTAAAGCCAATAAACGCAGGGGTTCCAGAAGGTAACGTTTTTGGACCAGTAATATACCTTGTGTATACATCTGATATTCCGGAGAGAAAACATTCAACTAGCCACATTTGCTGATGATAAAGCAGTCTTGATAATGGGAGCAACCATAGAAGAATCTAGATAGAATGCAATTAATGGCATAGAACGCTGGTCCAAAAGAAAATCAATTATATCAAGAAAACATCGAAATACCTGGGTTTAAATCTGAATATCAAACTCAAATTTAAGGAGCATGTTAAAAAGAAAACTGAACAATTGACGAAAAACTACCAAAAATATGTATTGGCTGATAGGTAGGCACCCTCAACTTTCCATCCAGAACAAATTACTGATTTATAAAAAGATATTGAAAACAGTGTGGGTCTCCTAAAGAATTCACAATATCTTCTACCAAATGTCATTTAGAGAAGGAGGAAAGTTTCTTTTGACAAGCAATGCATGTACCCATCCTCTGTAGAAAAAAATTTATGAAGCAATAAATAAAAATCGCATGGTTTCGTGTTTCTTCTGCTTCGTTTTTTGAATAATTGCCTTAATTGGTGACATTTATGTACATGTACATGTAAGAGTTGACAGCCAGTACACCGAAAATATTAAAATACAGAGAGGAGTCCGCCAGGGTTGCGTGCTGTCCCCACTACTTTTCAATGTCTACAGTGAAGCGGTATTTCAAGAAGCTCTCTCAGACTCAATAGAAGGTATATCTATCAATGAAGAAGTTTTGAATAACTTACGTTTTGCAGACGATACAGTAATAATTACGGATAACAACAATGATTTACAGAACGTAATGCAATGCCTTAATGAACGCTGTCATGAGTACGGACTGAAGATAAATTTAAAGAAAACTAAATGCATGATAATGACTAAATCTGCACATGCAAATATCCAATTGACTATTGAAGATACTGCAATTGAGAGTGTTAATAACTATAAATACTTAGGAACATGGATAACATCAGATGTAGACCAAACCAAAGAAATTAAGACATGTATTGAAATAGCACGTACATCATTTATTAAACTTAAAAAGTTTCTTTGTTGTCGGGATATAAGGTTAGAACTACGCCTGAGAATGCTTCGATGTTACGTGTTCTCTACTCTTCTTTATGGTCTGGAAGCTTGGACACTAAAACAAGTTCATCTGAATAAGTTGGCCGCCTTTGAATTTTGGTGTTACAGAAGAATCCTACGAATATCATGGACTCAAAGAATGTCAAACATGGAAGTAACTAGAAGGATAGGAAATGAGGCGGAAATAATATTAACTATTAAAAGACGAAAACTTGAGTACTTGGGACATGTGATGAGAGGGCAAAAATACGCATTATTACAACTTATTATGCAGGGCAAAATCCGAGGAAAGCGAAATGTGGGAAGACGAAGAATATCCTGGCTTAAGAACTTGAGGTAATGGTTTGAATGCAGTAGTGCAGAACTTTTTAGAGCGGCAGTCAACAGAGTCCGCATAGCCATGATGATTTCCAACCTTCGATAGAACATGGAACTTAAAGAAGAAGGTGACATTTATAGTCCAAATTCAATAGGATTGTCAGGGTATCGTTTTAAAATGATAGAGTCCGGCACGAAACGAGAGACGAGTGTAGTTCAATGGTGGCGTGTACATTTTTAAAATAAGGGAAAGCATTGTGAGGACTAATTCGAAAGAAACCTTTTACATTAGATTTCTTTAAACGT